GTGTAAACAACCCCTAAGAAATGCTCTGTTTTGCTCTCTGCTGTAGCAAGAAATGCTCTGTTTTACTAGTGGCCAACTGGCCACCGATGGTAGCCGACCGGCCCCTTGTTGGCCACCAATGAAATTTGCACAGCGTGTTCCTGAGGTGGAGCAGAGGTATTCTGGAAGTGGACAGCTTCTTTGGTGTTCAAATGTGAAAACAGAGACATGCAGCTGCAAGACAGTCCCTTTTGGGGTGAAAGCCGAGCATGTGCATGAGCCTCCCTTGCATTCCAAACTAACTTATCGCTTAAATATCTAGCTGAGATGCATGTTGTAATTAATTAGTTGTAGCTAATTAAAAGTTGTAAATAATTAGTTAGTTTAACTAGTTATTCGTTTACGGTTTGTAATAATTAGTTAACTAGAATAGTTAATTAATTCGGTTTGTAATAATTAGTTAGCTTAATTAGCATAGCTAGTTGGTTAGCTTATTCATTTGGACACTCCTTCGCGAGGGCATAATGTTGTAATAAGTGTGTGTGCACGTGTATGTCTTCTAACCCCACGTCTTTCTCCCTTTTATTTAATCGCTTTTGATGGTTAGATTAGGGACATGTTTAGATTAGCATATCGCATGCTTGCATCCATTCATTTGTCTTGCAAGCCCTAAGGCTCGGCGCATCATTCAAACTGCATTTTCATTTCAATATCTTCTTTGAATACGTGTTTAATCGCATGTTATTCACATCAATCCATATGCCATATTAGTAGCCGAGCCTATTAATTGCATATTGCATGTGTTGCATTAGGCATCTTGTATAGTTAGGATCATGCATCTTCCTAACTAGTTTTTGTTTTGGCTTGGAATACTCAGTGAGTTTTATGCTTTAGCATACTTTCATGAGTGTGATTGCCATATTTCCGTGATTAGCATGCATGCCATGCGGCTATGTGCTAAAATGCTAAACTGCATGAATGCCTGTAGATGAAGGCTGCTTGTTTGAATTGGAACGATTCAAGGAATGTGCATTTTAAGCCCACTTTGTTGAGTGGCAAATCATGTTTTAAGCCTATTATGTTTGGTGGCAAATCCATAACTTTAAGCCCACTTGAGGTGGTAAATTCAAACCATATTCGCAAACAAACATGAGTTAAATTGTTCTAAATTGAGCAAACTAGTCTATACTTGCTTGTGTGCATCACATACTAAAGCTAGTTTAATAACCGGAACAAGAACACATAATGTTTATAAAAAATCATATCATAATTAGTAGAGGCCGATCTTTGACCGGGCGAGTGGGGGTGCTCATTTCATGACCTTCCCCCTTCGTACCCAAGTTCCCGAGCTGAGGCAACTTTGGTGATGATAGACACGTGGCCTTCGGCATGAGTCAGGGTTTCCTAAATTTCTCCAAAATAAAATATTTAGGTGGTGACTCTGTATCTGGCAAAGTAGTCCAATTTTGGCATTATTTGATTTAAAATCGATTTTTTAAAAGGTTTGCCGGATTTGGACTCTTTGGTATTTATCAGTTTCACGTTGCACTTGTGAGACTAGATTCAGAACCGCGGGAGTCCGAACTGTGAGGCCCTTTTTTCAAACCTGTCCGAAAGGCGAGGCGCGAGAAAAATGCGAGTCCACAGTTTTTGGCAACTCTGTTGGGGATTTAGAGAACTTCACTCGAACTCATGATATGTTATTTTATTTACACTCATGTGTTTCTTTGCATTTTCATTTGCATCAGTGCGCCTAAGTCACAGTGTTTGCCATCTGCTATTCTTGAACGGTTTGTCGGAGGCTCGCTGGGAAAAGCTTGCCAAAAGGCTGACTGGTTGCAGGCTCTGCCACGATGGGAACACAACCCTTGGATCTGGACTACCGCTGTACCGTTTGATCCCTTTTTCACTTCTCGATGTTAGGTATGAGAGGTATATGAGGTAGTCTTGTTGAGGTACCCATTTTGACCAATCAACCTAGTTGTATATCGGAAGCCATAAAGACTGTTCCAATCTAGGATAGGTTGCTCACCCGAATGCAAGAATTGTTTGAAACCGCTTGTCTTGCGTAGTGGATCCCTAGCTCCCGACGAAATTAGGATAGGGTAACCCTACCCCATCATAGGAGTGTTTTAGTTCTTAATTGCTTGATATGTGCTTTTAGAGTGAAACTCTGCAGGAATGTATGTATCAGTTGCAAGTCTGGGTATCAGTTTTGGGGCAGAAATCAGTGTTTGAGTACAGCTCTCCAGCTTATGATTGCAACTGCGTGTTGTTTCTGTCTGAGCTGAGGTGCTGTGCAGTTTCTGATTCTTTTGTTTCTTTTTGCAAGGTAGTCTTTCACCATTACTTCAGACGATTTTGTTACCCCCCAAGCACTATGGACCCGAGTTAGAAGGATTTACAGATCTGGGGATCTAGTCAGGGGACAACTAGTGTTTGTTTCACTCCTGCCGGTTACTAAACGGAGGAGGATTCGACAAAATTCGCCAATTCAGCAGTCACCTTTTACCTCGTCTATGCCAAGTCAGGCCCAATCATCTACTTCTACTCCAGACAGAGGGTATTCGCCAGTTCCGGTAGTTCAAAATCCTCCAGTCAACATAGAAGATATGCTTCGCCAACTCTAGCAGACTATTGAGAACATGTAGCTAGATGTTGCCCGACAAGTTGAGACCACAGCTCGCCAAGCCGAGGTTTTAGCTTGCCAAGTAGAGGTAATAGATAGGCTTCAGCAGTCAACTAGTTGTTAGAAATGAGTTTGAAAACAATCTGTCTTAAATCACTACAAGAATTCGCACTTTTGTTGACTAAAAATTTAGTCGATAAAAGTCCATTTTTAGTCGGCAAAAGTTATCCGCGACTAATTTTTTTGGTCGCCAATTGAGGGTCACGAAAAGTAATTAGTGACTAAAAATTTTTTTAGTCACGAAAAAGTTATATTTGCCGACTAAATTTTTTGTCGCTAAATATATAATTACTGCGACTAATCCATTTAGTAGCTAAAACACTTTAGTCACGAAAAGTCATATTTTCCCGACCAAACATGTTAGTCGCCAATTCGCACATTCAACGACCAAATAGTTTGGTCGGTAATTGTGGCCCATTTCCATGACCAACAAATTTGGTCTGCAAAAGTCCATTTTTAGTCGGCAAAAGTTATTTGCGACCAATTTTTTTGGTCGCCACGTTGGTCTCCAATTGAGGGTCGGCAAAAGTAATTAGTGACCAAAACTTTAGTTAGTCGAGAAAAAGTTGGTTTTGCCGACTAAATTTTTTGTCTCTAAATATATCATTACTAAGACTAATCCATTTAGTCGCTAAAACACTTTAGTCGCGAAAAGTGACATATTCCCGACCAAACATGTTAGTCGCCAATTCGCACATTCAACGACCAAATAGTTTGGTCGGTAATTGTGGCCAATTTCCATGACCAACAAATTTGGTCTGCAAAAGTCCATTTTTAGTCGGCAAAAGTTATTTGCGACCAATTTTTTTGGTCGCCACGTTGGTCTCCAATTGAGGGTCGGCAAAAGTAATTAGTGACCAAAACTTTAGTTAGTCGAGAAAAAGTTGGTTTTGCCGACTAAATTTTTTGTCTCTAAATATATCATTACTAAGACTAATCCATTTAGTCGCTAAAACACTTTAGTCGCGAAAAGTGACATATTCCCGACCAAACATGTTAGTCGCCAATTCGCACATTCAACGACCAAATAGTTTGGTCGGTAATTGTGGCCAATTTCCATGACCAACAAATTTGGTCTGCAAAAGTCCATTTTTAGTCGGCAAAAGTTATTTGCGACCAATTTTTTTGGTCGCCACGTTGGTCTCCAATTGAGGGTCGGCAAAAGTAATTAGTGACCAAAACTTTAGTTAGTCGAGAAAAAGTTGGTTTTGCCGACTAAATTTTTTGTCTCTAAATATATCATTACTAAGACTAATCCATTTAGTCGCTAAAACACTTTAGTCGCGAAAAGTGACATATTCCCGACCAAACATGTTAGTCGCCAATTGTCACATTCCACGACCAAACATGTTAGTTGCCACAGGAATCACTACAAGAATTCGCACTTTTGCTGACTAAAAATTTAGTCGGTAAAAGTCCATTTTTAGTCGGCAAAAGTTATCCGCAACTAATTTTTTTGGTCGCCAATTGAGGGTCGCGAAAAGTAATTAGTGACTAAAAATTTTTTTAGTCACGAAAAAGTTATATTTGCCGACTAAATTTTTTGTCGCTAAATATATAATTACTGCGACTAATCCATTTAGTAGCTAAAACACTTTAGTCACGAAAAGTCATATTTTCCCGACCAAACATGTTAGTCGCCAATTCGCATATTCAACGACCAAATAGTTTGGTCGGTAATTGTGGCCAATTTCCATGACCAACAAATTTGGTCTGCAAAAGTCCATTTTTAGTCGGCAAAAGTTATTTGCGACCAATTTTTTTGGTCGCCACGTTGGTCGCCAATTGAGGGTCGGCAAAAGTAATTAGCGACCAAAACTTTAGTTAGTCGAGAAAAAGTTGGTTTTGCCGACTAAATTTTTTGTCTCTAAATATATCATTACTGAGACTAATCCATTTAGTCGCTAAAACACTTTAGTCGCGAAAAGTGACATATTCCCGACCAAACATGTTAGTCGCCAATTGTCACATTGTTAGTCGCCAATTGTCACATTCCACGACCAAACATGTTAGTTGCCAAAAGTAATGTTTGCGCGACTAAAATTTTAGTCGACAATAGACCTATTCGCGACCAAACTCTTTGGTTGCCAAAATTAACAATTTTACCGACTAATTATTTAGTCGCCAAATGTACCATTTTGCCTACTAACATTTTGGTCAGCAAAACCACAATTTGGTCGCCAACATCCAACAAAATAAACTTGTAATTGAAGACAACTATTCCATCCAATCCATTCAATCTAATCTGTAATTAAAAAGAATCATTCATACCAACAAAGTATCTGAATCATGAACATTCAATGAAATACATAAATCATCAAATCTTTACCTGTTTAATAAAAATCAGCAACTATTATAAGTTTCCATCCACAAGTAATTCCAAAGTACATATTCTTCCAATTTAAACTTTTATCCATGCGCATTTATCAAAAAATACAACTAGTCTATCCAAATATTTCCATATACACCCATCAAAAAATATAACTACTATTCTATCGAAATATATTCCATACACATCTAACCAAAAATATATAATACTTCCAAAAATTCTTATAGTGCCAATTAGTCATGTACAATTTAGCTTTGTGCACGAATTCATTCATCTGTACCAAAGAAAAAAGAAAAAGAATGTCAAGAATTGAGCAATCATTAAACCTTGTTTGTCTAAAATGTGGTAAAACACTTTTACTTTCAAACTGGAGGATGGAGCACCTCCCCAAAAGACCACATAGATGGGATTTAAGAATTAGTCACTACAAAACTAAATCTTTGTTTGGATGCTTCTAGTAAATTGTCCAATACTATATATGATTATTCAGAACATGCGAACATGTTCCCTGCCATACCACACTATTACTTGACATCAAACCAACCATCATGTTTACATTGTGAAAGAATCTCAAATTTGCAAGAAGAAAATTCTATCATTACTGAATACAAAAAAGGCATTCCCCTGCCATGTCATGCAAGTTAATTTTGTGATAAAGAAAACAAACATCTGAGAATGAGACCTCTAACTTCTTGAGAATTCTACCCACCACTACTAAGGCCATAAATCTTTCTGTCACACAATATGCATCGCATTAACTAGACATATGATAGTTTGACCTAACATTTAAATAAGCTTAGACTTCTTTTATTTCTGACAAAAGGATGGATGTTGGCATTAACCAATCAGCAACACCACAAGGAAAGGGCCACTAATTTTCTCACTCAAGGGCCCCCAAGTTGACAATGACTTTGTAACACTAAGTTGACATTCAAATAGGGTGGTGACTCCATATGAAGAAAGTTCCCTCTCAGCGTCCTAATTTTTTGTGATGAGATTACTATAAAAGATACTATTACTCTATACATTATGCAAAAAGAAGACTAATGAAATAATTGCCCACAATTAAAAATAGAACACGGCCTCCCATTGAATAAGGTATATAATTTAAGTAAAACTTGTAAAGCTGAACTTACCTAAATAATGGACAAAGCAATTTTGTACAGCATGACATTAGTGCTATTTTCATGAGCAATTTGCACTTGCTCGCCAAGGATCCTAAACAAATCAACAGTAGCAGGTGTAAAATAATATAATATACTTGTTTTTAAATTATAATTTTTTTTAAATAACAAATATATTAATCATGTACTAATCATGGTGATAAAATACTTGTTTTTTCTTGACATTCCTAGAAGTTGCACCAAATAGTGCCGCTAACTTCTTTTCATGTAATAATCATGGTGATAATTCTCATGAAATGCAGAGCATCCTAAGGTAATCTCAATGTTCTTGAACATGGGAAGAAAATTACACACAACTGGGTCATGGGAATTCTTGTGCCTTGAGGATAATGATGTCATACATTACAGCTCAATTTGGAAGAAGGCGTGATTCGGCGAGGATGCTATCATAGCCAACCTTGATACTGGTTGCCACTCTCTCCCCACTCTTAATTTGAATTTCAATATGATCAAAAATCTTACTATCAAATTTGAGTTCTTTTCGCCAATTCAACTTAGATCCTAGATATGTTTTAGTGCATAATAATAGTTTAAATTTTCTAATTTTTTTCTTCAATTTTCTTGCTTAGAAATTGTTGTAGATCTACATTACTCTTCCTATAATTGTTTAGTAACTGGAAAGTTGACTTTCATGTAAGCTTTATGCTTATCCTAGATAACATTTAGTGTTAATGAACTTTGGTGAATTAACTAAGCTCTGGTATTGAATTTTCATATTTCCCATTCTCATTGATGTTTCATATATATGACAAAGCATCATTTAATACAACTTGTCCTGTCACCAAGCCATGTTTGACCATCAGCAAAAGCTATTCTATGAATTCAGAAAGGCACATACATGCATGCATTAGAGAGGTTTTATTAGGTCTTAATAGACCCATCTTGGAGCTCATCTTGATGATCCAAATTATTCATCTTATGGGGCCTATTGAGCAAAGTATTTATGCAAAAAATCACGATGATCATATATTGGTTGCCATATGATTGAATCACATTTGTCTTTGAAAAAATGAATGGTATATTCACAAAATCACACCTACGACCCATTTTTGGTAAGGCAAATGTGATTAGATCATGTCTTAAATGGTATTTTGACATTTGTGATCAGATCAGTAAGGCACCATTTTTAATTTTCTATTGCTATGATCTTTGAGTTTTTGTGCACTTACCCTTCATCGATGTGATCAAGCCAGGTGTGTGGCCTGAATCAACAAGTTTTAGTGATGAAGAAATGGGACCAATTCCATCAAAGTGAAAAGGAATCTGTCAAAATGATGCAGATCCAGGTTAGAGACCCCGCTCCCCCCCATCTCTCTATACACAATATCTCTTGTTAATACACTCTTTGAAGGTGATGTTCATTGAGATAATTCAAGGATTTTATGATAGAATTTAGTGTTCTGTATTTCTTGTTTATACCAGACATTGTCCAATTATTATATGAAAAAATGAGAACTTCTTCAGTTAAATGGCTCTCATGAGATTGATTTGGTAGCTATGCTTAGGCCAAAGTAACTTCAGTACTGTCATTGTTTTTATCATCTGATATAGGACCACCAAGTTGTTGCCTTAACAACTAAATTGCATAAGAAAAATAATTGACAAATAGAATTTTTATACATAAATCATCATAAATTGCATACAAAAGAATTCTCTCTGTCATTTAATTTTAATTAGTTTCCACCTTAGAGGGTTGGAACAGCCTATTATGACCTGCTTGTCAAGGGTTCGAAGCACATAAATAATATTTTCACAGCAAGGGTAAGGTTGTGTACTTTTGACCCTCCCATACCTTGCATTGACATGACAAGAGTCTTTTGCATGGGACATGACCAGAGTCTTTTGCATGGGACATGACCTATTTTTTAGTTAGTTCCATTCTTGGTTACCTAATCTCAATGAATTTATCAGCGATCTGATAATCATATTCAAAAGGTCAAGAGTAAAAAAGCTTCAGATCAAATGGGCTCATCAACCCTGTGCTTAGCATACTTCTAGTGTCTTAGAAAGTGCTTTCATGTTCATCTATGTCTTCATCATGATGAATTCCTTTTTGGTCGCCAAAATTAATGCCTTTAACGACTAATTATTTAGTCGGCAAAAGTATTAGTTATCTTTCCCAACTAATCAATTGGTCGCCAAAACAGAAAAAAACAATTGAGGTGTTAAGCTCATAGTGATGGTTACTATTAATTGTTCCATCAAAGAAATAGATGGAAATGCAATCAATTAATTGTTACTATTTTACTAGAGTAGTCTAGTACAACAACTATGACAATACCAATAGTGATGGTCATTACCTCTCAATTAGATCAGCTGGAACTATTGGGGTGTTAAGCCCACCCATGCATTTCTTCCCAAGAAACCTCCAAGCAATCTTGTCCTTGAATTTTTCTCTGCTTGATGATTCTAGATACAGGACACTTGACATGCATCTGTACTCAAAAAAGAGTTATCAGTCGGTGCCAAGTATTGAAACAACAAAATCATGGTCCGTAGAGTGACATGATAGAACCCCAAATGAATTATTTGTCGATATTTTGATACCATGGAGTACAAAGATGAAAGCATACAAGTATATAAACTCAAAATTTACCAATTATTCATATTACACATGCCGGGCACTTTATGAAGCCATTTAGTTATGAACTCAATTTATCCAAGCATGAAAAGACATCCTTGGGTTTTTCTGTAATAATGATGTTGATGGCTCTAATTTTGCCCCTTATTGTTTATGGGGTTGAATGCTACTTCATGGATTACACAAGTGCCATTAGAGCAGACTCACTCCAAGAGGTAGTTGGTACATATTATAATGATTTTGATGGCCAAGAAAGGATCTATCGTGTATTCTATCAAAATCCCCAAAGATCGGAAAGTTTATCAATTGCTCCATAGATGGATGACATAACTAGCTTTCATAGTGGAAGGAAGGTTGTATTGGCTCCATTAAATATATATATATGTATACTTTTGTCTCAAACCTTATTGAGAAAGAAAATAATAAAATAAATTCCAATTTCCTAAAATGTCCAAGCAAGCCTAGTAATAGTAACTCCCAAATATAGCAGCAATACAAGTTCGCCTTCTGGGAGTGAGTCAATTAATTACTTCAGAAGAGATTGAAGTTCAACACGCCATACAATTGAGTAAAATTGTAGGATAAAAAAAGCAAAAACTATCAAACAGTAACTTGTCCAATGGAAGCCTAAGTCCTAGTTCTAATAAAGTAGAAAGCAAATTAGCAAACCACCGTAGGTCTCTTTCAGCAATCTTAGGTAGGATATACTCATCTGAAACACAAATACCAAACAAGATAAATATGAAAATAGATAGAAAAAGCCTCCCTCTTAATCGCATGAGGAGCAACTCTTTTTTTTCTTTGTGATTCTCACTGATTAAAAATATCATACTTCCTCTTCGCAATTTCAGGTTTTTGAATAATAGTAGTCGAACGCCATTTGACCATTTCAAATTTCTGAATCAGCAATCTTAGGTAGGATATACTCATCTGAAACACAAATACCAAACAAGATAAATATGAAAATAGATAGAAAAAGCCTCCCTCTTAATCGCATGAGGAGCAACTCTTTTTTTTCTTTGTGATTCTCACTGATTAAAAATATCATACTTCCTCTTCACAATTTCAGGTTTTTGAATAATAGTAGTCGAACGCTATTTGACCATTTCAAATTTCTGAATTTTGAACATCAGAGAAAAAAAAAATCCCAATTTCAACCACAAAATAATAAATAAAATTCTCATTGGTAGCCTAGCCATTCTTTCTCATCTTGATCAACAGAAAAATGTGTAAACAATAGTTATGATCAGCTGGCAGTGTTACTAAAACTCTGAAAGAAAGGTTCTAATACTGGTTGCCCATGCTGTAACAAAAATCTATAAGCTGAGGAACAGCCCAATAAGGAGCTAATTGATATTGTCTTGTAACTGGACCAGTGAACCAACTAAATGATAGTAGTACAGATACCTAACTCGAAAAAGCTCATGAATCCAAATGACGTGAGCATGTGCATGCTTACAAGTTACTCTAGAATACATAATTAAGATTGTGAATTACAAAACCTGTTTTCTCAGGAGGCCAATAAAAAAACTGAGCACATATCTGTTGAGTATTGGTGCGTTGAAATGGATGCAGTGCAAGAACCCTACAAGATTTAGGTAGTTAATGTTAGAATGTTTCATTACTTTCTTCTCTTTTTTTTTTCTTTTTCTTTTTTTTTTTTCCTTTTTTTACTTGGCCAAGTTCACAGCCCTGTTTCCAAAACAGAAATAGATGGAACAAAGCAAGCAATGTTAAGTTGTTCACAAGACAAGTGCTTATCTTAATTATTGACTTTGATTTCTAGGAAACCAACACCATTTGGGAAAATTAAGGTTAACATGCTATAAAAGTGATAATTTTGATTACAGGTACTCAGGAGGTGAGCATTTTTATCTATAAGAGTCAGCATCTCTATTGTATTCACATAAGATGAACTCCTTTCCACAATTCATATCACACAATACCTGTCCTTGCCACTTTGAAAGAAACTTTCCCAATTATATGAGAGAGAGAAGATATCATTTCTAGAAATTAGCAGTAAAAAATCAATTTTTGACAAATCTAAGATCCACAAATCTTGTTAATGGAATGCAATCGAAGATATAGAAGGAAGGAAAATTGAAAAGTAACCGTCGTGTTTACGCACACAAATCGCAAGAAAACTAAAAAACTGAATCAAAGTAAAAGACAAAGAAATGACATGAGAAAGGAGGACCTGAAGAGGCTGATCAACTTGGGAAAGGAGATGAGAGGAGTGGTCAGGCAAGAGGCTGAGGAGAGCAGAGAGAGCAGTCTCCGTGTGCTTCGGAGGAATTCTTCTCATCAATCCCATCCCGGTTTCCATTTTCTTCCAACCAACCAAATCACCCCCCTCAAATCACCCATACCCACACAAACAGTTTTAGAGAATTTGAGAGAGAGAGAGAGTGAGAGAGAGGCGAGTTGTTTGATCTGTGTTTCCCTCGCGGGAACCGTATATAAGTGCCTTTTTTAAGTATGTTACGAAAATTTAGAGCCCTCATAGAAATAGAATCTAACCTCACGTAGGATAGCAAAGAACTTCCATAATTGCTCTCATCAACAAGTAGTTGTACATAAGATAGCAAAGAACCCAAAGACCCAAGTGCAAATTCAAACCCAGAAACATCCCTTAAATGGTTCGGGGGCTATCTCATTTACATACCATCTGTTCCCACAACTTCTTCATACAGTTTAAAATCCAAGTTCCATTTGAAGATAAAGGTAACAATGTCAACAGTTAATAGATGCTAGCATACAGTCAAATTCCAAATTATTTAGACTCATATTGTCAAAATCTAGATTATTGAACTCTATAGTGGCTGAATGTTACACAGTTACAATAAGGAAAACTGAGGGCTCTAAATGTTAGCATCAACTTTGTTACACAGTTTCAGAGCAAACCCAACTTCATACAAATACAAGGCAATAAAATCAAAATGTTTAATCTCAGATCATGCTTTTTATACCCACATTTAAAATAAATACTTGGTGCTTTCAATTGTTTAGGAAAGGAAGGTTTGAGGAGGGGTTTCAAGAATGGATTTCGCAGATATGGAGGTAAAGATAGGAAGAGTGAAGGAAACCATTTGCCCACTATATGAATGGCGGTGGCTGGGTTGATTTAGGGGTAGGTTTGCGTGAAGAAGGTATGCGGATGAAAGAAGAAAAAAACCCTAGAGGCCGAAATTAGGGGAACAAAGATAGAGATATAGAGATACATATACATATATATATATACAGAGAGAGAGAGAGAGAGAGAGAGAGAGAGGACATACCTTGGCTAGTGCCCCAATGATGGATCGTGACTACGAGATAAGATGATATAGGTTGTTGGTTTGCGATGGTCCTTATGTGCGACGGGCGTCGACACCGATGGTGCTCCTGTACCAACGACGATGAAGACAAAAGCGAGAGAGAGAGAGAGAGAGAGAGAGAATCGGAGCTGGGCAGATGCGAGAGAGAGAATCAGAGGAAGGCAGATGCGAGAGACAGAGACAGTCGCAGACTGAGAGAGTCACAGAGTGAGAGAGAGACGAACATGTTTTTAAGGCCTAAGTCACAGAGTGAGGTGAGACGGGGTGAGGTTTGGTGGTGAAGGAGAATCTGTATGAGAGAGAACAATCTGATTGGTTTAAACAGAGAACAGGCGGGGGCAATTAAATGGTTTCCCTCTAAAATTTTCACGCCTTTGGCGACGAAATTAATTTTTAGTCGGCAAATGTTATTATTTGTGACCAAAATATTTTAGTTGCTAAACATTTTTTCATTCCCACTTTTTTTTTTGCCTTCCCTTTTCGACTTTTGCCGACTGAATTTCAATTTGATCATAGAACATTATATTTTGGCAACTAAAAAAATATTAGTCAGCAAAACTCCAAACCTTTATCAGGCACTATCAGTATAAATTAAGTATAAGATGAAGATCACAGAAGCAAAGATTAGCAAGGCAGCTTCAAGAATCTTTATTGGGCGCTACCAGTATAAATTAAGTATAAGATGAAACTATAAGATAAAATTTAAATGTTATGAATTTCAGGCTTTCACAACCCAAAAAAAGAAAAACAAGAAATTACATGTTCCTTAAATCATTTTAAGTATAAGATGAAGATCACAGAAGCAAAGTTCAGCAAGGCAGCTTCATGAATCTTTATCGGGCGCTACCAGTATAAATTAAGTATAAGATGAAACTATAAGATAAAATTTAAGTGTTATGAATTTCAGGCTTTCACAACCCAAAAAAAGAAAAACAAGAAATTACATGTTCCTTGAATCATTTTATAGAAAGAGAGGGATATTTACCTCAAATTTTTTTTAGGGAGAGTTGAAGATTCTCTAGAAAATGGGGATGGTGAAGGCCTTGGTGGGTGAGACATTGTAGAACAAAATTACTTTAGTCAAGGAGAAAACAAAGACAAAGAGAGTCACAGAGTAAGAGAGACAGATATTAGGAGAAGAGAGGTAGAGAGAAGGACAGTGAGAAGGCAAAATAGAGAGGACATACTGGGGTAATGCTCCAATAGTGGATCGACGGTGGTGCTCGGTGGCAGTGATGCTCCTTACCCTACAGTGATGGAAACAAAGCGACAGAGATTCAATATCAGGAGGAGGGCAGTAATGGAATGAGAGAGACAGAGGCATGAGAGAATCGGAAAAGGGCAGATGCAAGAGAGAGAGAGAGAGAGAGAGAGAGACGTTTAAGCCCTAACTCATTTTAGTTTGTTTGATAATCCCTCCAGAGTTCCTCACCAAATTAATTTTAAAATCCCTCCAAAATGATAATAAATAAAAAATAAAATTATAATAATAAATAATAATGATCATAATGATAAATAATAATAAAATTACACATGAACTCAAATTGGGAGGTATGTGTTCCCACCAAAAAAATTGAGTTTTATTGCCGACTAAATGTGTTTGTCACCAAAAATGTATATTTGCCCACCAAATAAGGTAGTCACCAAAGATGAAAAATAAAACTATACTAGATATTTGGCGACGAAATTTCTTTTAGTTGGCAAAAGTTGGTATATGACAACTAAAATTGATCGCTGAAATTAAATTTTTGTCGACCAAACTTTTGGTCGCCAAAGATAAAGAGTAAATTTTTGTTTTCCATTCAGCGACTAAATAAATTTAGTAGCCAAAAGCAACTATATAGCGACTAAAATATTTATTAGTCGCTGAAAATAAATTTTTGCCGACCAAACGTTTGGTCGCCAAAGATAAAAAGTAAATTATTATTTTTCATTCAGCGATTAAATTATTTTAGTTGCCAAAACTATCTATACAACGACTAAAATATTTTTGAGTCGCTGAAATTAAATTTTTGCCGACCAAACATTTGGGCGCCAAAGATGAAAAGTACATTTTTATTTTTTATTTAGCGACTAAATTATTTTAGTTGCAAAAACTATCTGTACAGCGACTAAAATATTTTTTTAGTCGTTGAAATTAAATTTTTGCTGACCAAACTTTTGGTCGCCAAAGATAAAAAGTAAATTTTTATTTTTGAATCGGCGACTAAATTATTTTAGTTGCCAAAACTATCTGTACAGCGACTAAAATATTTTTTAGTCGCTGAAATTAAATTTTTGCCGACCAAACTTTTGGTTGCCAAAGACAAAAAGTAAGTATTTATTTTTGATTCGGCGACTAAATAATTTTAGTTACCAAAACTATCCATACAGCGACTAAAATATTCTTTAGTCGTTGAAATTAAATTTTTTCGGACCAAACTGTTGGTCGCAAAAGATAAAAAGTAAATTTTTATTTTTCATTCCGCGACTAAATAATTTTAGTTGCCAAGTTGCTGAAATTAAATTTTTGCCGACCAAACTTTTGGTCGCCAAAGATAAAAAGTAAATTTTTATTTTTGATTCGGCGACTACATTATTTTAGTTGCCAAAACTATTTGTACAGCGACTAAAATATTTTTTAGTTGTTGAAATTAAATTTTTTTGACCAAACTTTTGGTCGCCAAAGATAAAAAGTAAATTTTTATTTTTGAATCGGCGACAAAATTATTTTAGTTGCCAAAACTATTTGTACAACGACTAAAATATTTTTTAGTAGCTGAAATTAAATTTTTACCGACCAAACTTTTGGTCGCCAAAGACAAAAAGTAAATTTTTATTTTTGATTCGGCGACTAAATAATTTTAGTTGCCAAAACTATCCATATTTTTTAGTCGCTGAAATTAAATTTTTGCCGACCAAACGTTTGGTCGCAAAAGATAAAAAGTAAATTTTTATTTTTCATTTCGCGACTAAATAATTTTAGTTGCCAAAACTATCTATACAGCGACTAAAATATTTTTTAGTCGCTGAAATTAAATTTTTGCCAACCAAACTTTTGGTCGCCAAAGATAAAAAGCAAATTTTTATTTTTGATTTGGCGACTAAACAATTTTAGTTGCCAAAACTATCCATACAGCGACTAAAATATTTTTTAATCGCTGAAATTAAATTTTTGCCGACCAAACTTTTGGTCGCCAAAGATAAAAAGTAAATTTTTATTTTTTATTCGGCAACTAAATAATTTTAGTTGCCAAAACTATCTATACAGCGACTAAATTATTTTTTAGTCGCTGAAATTAAATTTTTGTCAACTAAACTTTTGGTCGCCAAAGATAAAAAGTAAATTTTTATTTTTGATTCGGCGACTAAATAATTTTCGTTGCCAAAACTATCTATACAGCGACTAAAATATTTTTTAGTCGCTGAAATTAAATTTTTGTCGACCAAACCTTTGGTTGCCAAAGATAAAAAGTAAATTTTTATTTTTCATTCAGCGACTAAAAAAGCGACTAAATTTTTTTTAGTCGCCAATTGTGACATTTTTAGCGACTAATTTTTTTTTTGGTCGCCAATAATCAATATACCCCGACTAAAAAAGTTTAGTAGCTAAATATTGTACTTTTACCGACTAACATAATTTTTGGTCGCCAATTCCACAACTTTTGGCAACCAAAATATTTTTAGTCAGCAAAAGTGGTCGCCAAAATTGTATTTTCTTGTAGTGAATACTGGCACTCGGGGGTCACAATTAATGTCCAGGAAAATGTGGGCATTCAAGCGGATCCCATCCCACCTCAGACCTCCAAGGCACTGGCTTTCTGGACAGTGGCGCCATTTGAATTCGAGGTCGACCTTACTACACTGAAAGTGAGCAAGCTGGAAAAGCTCTTTAAAAGGGCACAGGGCGTGAATTCGATCCCTAATATTGAAGATGGCTATACAAATTCCCCAGTAACTCTGCTGGATAGATTCAAGATGCCACACATAGGCCGGTTTGACAGTTCTAGGGATCCTGTGGTGCATCTGCGGCTATTCTCTGACATCCTACGACCCATGGGTCTCACTAGACTACAAAAATTGTCGCTCTTTGGCCAGACCCTGCCGGGTATAGCTGCCATCTGGTATGCCAAGCTTGAAGACTCTGTGAAGAGAAACTGGGAGGAAATGGTCAAGGCCTTTATAGCGCAGTACTCTTACAATACTCAGATCGAGGTCACTACTTCTGATCTCAAAGCAACTCGCCAAGAGTCGAAGGAGGGTTTCTCGAATTTTGTGACCCGGTAGAGGTCCAAGGCCTCTATGATGAGTATGCAGCCATATGAAAAGGACCAGATCAGAATGGTGGTCCATAACTTGCAAGGAAGATTATTATAGAAGACGATAGTCTTGCCTTCATCTACTTTTGTTGAGTTCCATGAAATAGGAGTGCAAATTGAGGATGCAATGAAGTTGGGGCTAATAGATAGTGAGAAGGAGCAGCCCAAGAGGGTTTTTACATGCAGTTCTAATGCGACTAATAGCGGTAGTGCAGCTGCAAGGCCTTCAGACGTGAGCGTGGTCACCACTACACCCAAGACTGCTAACCCTTTCCCAGTACATCCAATACAACTTCCCAAACCTCAAGCCATCAGGCCCGAGGCCAAAGGGTTTTCATGCCACTCTACATGTCTTTATCTGTGGCCTTGAGGGTTCTAATAAAAAAGGGACATCTTAAGCCGTTAGAACAACGCCCACTACCCGATCCTCTCCCTCTGAAACACAACCCGGATAAATACTGTGCCTTTCACCAACAACATGGTCATGATATTGATAGTGCTTTAGATTACGTCATGAGATTCAAGATCTCATGGACAATAAGGTGATAGCACCTCCTGAAAAACCTAATGTCACTACAAATCCTCTCCCACCACATAATCAAGCCCCTCTACCCCAACAAGTAAACCTCATAAAAACACTGGCCATCCCTTACGACCCCAACATATACATCACCCCCTCCTACCTACCTAAGCCGGCATTGTTCATCCCTGAGAGCACAGACTTGTGCATGACGAACACGTCAACAATCCAAATTGAACCCGTGGGGGTGACAGTGGAAGATGGAGGGAGATCAGCCTTGGTGGAGAATGGGAATGTCAGTTTAGTGCCTGAGGGCTCTGTGGATTTATCTAAGGAGGAATACAATCCATGCCGCTATATTGTGCCAACCAGTTAGGCCAAACCAGAGGTAGAGTTGCCAACAGGAATAGAGGTTAGTGTGGTCCAGGAGGATGGCCTAAGCCAGGGATTAGATGACCTAGCCGACCTGGAGGAAGAGATCAACAATCTGCAGTTCTTCGATGAACAAGATTCGAGAGATGTGCACATTAACTGGTTCGATCTAAACAGGTCGACAGACAACTCTGGGTGGCTTAGTGATGAACATGAT